TTTAAATTTAAGCATAGCCGTAGCTAATAATGAAAGATGTAATAATGGGTCATACTGAGGTGCCTTAAATAAAGTATAATCAAGGCGATCATGGCCGTAATCATGGGAAAAACAATGACCGGAGTCATAACGTAGTCGAGGTCATGATAAAAAATAATGGAAAAAGATGACCGGAGCCATAATAGCCGGAGCTGTAATAAAATAGGGTGACCGGAGTCATAAGGGCCGGAGCCGTAATAAAACATGATGACCGGAGTCATAAGGGCCGGAGCCGTAATAAAACATGATGACCGGAGTCATAAGGGCCGGAGCCGTAATAAAACATGATAACCGGAGTCATAAGGGCCGGAGCCGTAATAAAATATGTGACACTGGGTCACTGTGGCCGTAGCCGAAGTAAAACATGTGACACTGGGTCACTGTGGCCGTAGCCGAAGTAAAACATGTGACACTGGGTCACTGTGGCCGTAGCCGTAATAAAACATGATGACCGGAGTCATAAGGGCCGGAGCCGTAATAAAACATGATGACCGGAGTCATAAGGGCCGGAGCCGTAATAAAATATGTGACACTGGGTCACTGTGGCCGTAGCCGAAGTAAAATAGCTAACAATTATAATTGTAAAAGTAAACAGAAGTGCTGAGCTAGGCTCAAGTATAAAGACAGAATAAAATATAATAAAATATAAATAAAGAAGTAAAATGGGCCAGGGTCATAATAAAATATAATGGCTGAGGTCATAATGCTCGTAGCCGAAGTAAAGTGTGTGATATTGGATTACCGTGGCCAAAGCCGATGTGAAATGTAATGCAGCATCAGTGGTTGAAGCCGAGGTGAAACACTTTGCACAATTGAGAATATGCAAAAGTGAACAGAGGTGTTAAAATGGTTGTAGGTGGGCCCGTGTAAAAATACTGACATAGGTGTGACAGTTTTCCTTTAAATGACGTGCGCAATAAATGCGGCCGTAAAAAGGTAACTGCAACCGTTAAACGGGCAAAAAGTTAAAAAACGAACCGTCTAATGCAAAACGGTATCGTTTAAGGTTGTCCGTTGAATTCTAAACGGTGCAAATAGGAACCGTTAGATTAAATGAATCTCAGCCATTGAGATCTAATTTTGCTCAGAGGTATAAATAGGCATTTTTTCTGCAGAGAAAAGTTTACTTGCATTTCTTTTCCTGCAAAACTTCTGCGAGAAGCTTCATCGTTCATCTTCTGTTCGTGAACTACGGTAACAACTGGGGATCTCTACATCAAATCT